CCCAGAACTCTTTAATACAGCTCATACAGTAGTTGTGTCCACAGGGAACAGTCACTGGATCCTTCAGGAGATCCAAACAGATGGAACAGGAGAACTTTCTGGAATCCATTTGGTTTCTTGCTGCTAGTTTCACCTCTAAAGAACTGGAAACAAAACAACTAAATGTGTTCCACAAGAAGCCGAGTGGTTTTTATTTCCTTCACTTTTACTTCCTGTCGCTGTTCTTCTTCTTCGCTTCTTTTATGGCGGATCACAAGCGACTTTAAGGTACATACCGCCCCCTACTGTACAACAGTGTGTAGCAACACTTTGTATCACTTAAATCACAATTTTTAGTTTCGTGTCATAGAGATAGCTGAATAATGTTTTCCTTAATACGTAAATATCCACTATGTTTCCTTCAGTTCCCAATATACCCTTTAAACTCCATTCCTGACCTGTCCTCCTCATTATATTTCTCAGTCTCTCCCTTTTAGGCTCATATGTTTTACTATTCATCAACACATGTTCAACATTTTCTTTTTCTCCACATCCTAAACATTTATCACTATTTGTCCTCCCAATTATTTATAAAATGTCATTTAAATAGGTATGACCTGCTCTTAATCTCATCATTATTATTTCTTCTCTTCTGTTTCTCTCACTAATATTTCTAACACTGAATTTTGTATTTTATATAAGCTCCTTCCCTTTTTATCTTCATTCCACCTTTTTTGCCATCCTTTCCTAAAAGGATTTCTAATTTTTATTGCCCCCTCTAAAGCCCCTTTTGCTAATTCGTCTGCCTTTTCATTGCCTTTTACTCTTTCATGTGCTGGTACCCAACAAAACCAAATATCTATGCCACCCCTGTGTAACCTAAACAAACTGTGTTGAATTTCTAATATTAAATATTTCCTATTATTTCCTTTTCCTTGAATACTTTCAATTTGGAGTCTGTGCACACCACCACCCTGTCAGGTCGAACCTCCTGTCAATACAGATAGTTGATCTGATTAATGCTTAGAAATGTATATTTTAAACTCTGGAATAAATATTCCTATTCCCACACATCCTTTAGTGTTTTCAGAACCATCAGAATATATTTTAAGATGATTGTTTCATGAGTTTCTTAGGTTTACGTCTGTTTTTTATATGATCATCTACTCCTCTGAGTTTCAGCCACACCAAATATGGCCATTATGTTTGCTAACATAATGCTGTTGTGGCAACCATCTTAAAGCTAATGTACTCCAAAACAACTGATTACTTTCTAAAAGCTTTTATTAAATCCGTCCAGTGGCTTATAAGATGCTTTGCTCTCTTTCTCAGCGGCTTGTGATAATGATGAGGTCAGCTGGTTTAGAGCAGTGGTTCCCAAACTTTTTATCTTCTGACCCACAAAATATTCATGGCAAAAACTTATGACCCCAAATATTACTGGTCTGAGTACACAAACTTTGTTAATAACCCTAAAAACACAGGCTTTTTGACAATCTAAACAGCTTGTGCACAAATATAAATATTTATTGTTACTTAGTTTGTGTTTTTTTTAACAATTTTAGGGAAAATATTACATCAGCAGTTATTTTATTACCCTTTAAATTAATTTCTGGAGATTATCCAAGGTGCTTCATGACCCATAATTGGGTCCCAAGCCCAACTTTAGGAACCAAAGTGCAGTGGTTCCCAAACTTTTCAGCTTTTGACCCACAAAATAACAGRAGCAGAGACCTGTGKCKCCAKKTATTTTTGGATGATAAACATTTGMATCAGGTCAACAAAACATGGGCATAGTAACAATATTTTATACTACATTTATCCATTTTAAATACACTAACCTCACTCCTTTGTAACAACTAAGGCAAAAATGTAATTAGTTCAGAAAATCTTTTCAGGACCCCACCTTGATGTTTTGGGACCCCACTTTGGGAAACACTGGTTTTGATCATTGTTGGATTTTATTTAAACCGTGGAGATAAAAGTTCAGAGGGTGCAAAAAATACAAATGTGACAGAGTAATATCAGTGTTTGTGTTTAGTTAATCCTCCTGTGTCTCTGTGCTGTAATCCACCTGTGTGTGTGTGTGTGTGTGTGTGTGTGTGTGTGTGTGTGTGTGTGTGTGTGTCACCTGACGTCATCTTACACGACTGTTTCTCAGGGTGAGTGGGGGAGGGTGGGGGTGTGTTCCCAAATGAAAGGAAAAGCAGCAAAGCTGTCAGATGTGAGAGAAAAGAACCTTGAGTTCTTGTGTTGCAGGTCCTGGCCCTGGTTGTGGTTCTGGTCCGAGCTGCTGCAGCCTGAGCAGACCTGATGCAGAGAGGCAGCAGGCTTTTTGGCGCTCACTGAAGCCACAGATTGTCTAATTAGATTAAGCGAGGCTTTCCTCAGATAATCATTTAGCCAGCTCTGCTTTTTTTTCTTCTTCTTTCTCTTCTAATGGAGTGCTGCTGCAGCCTGCCTGCTCCTCAGAGGTCAGTCTGAATTTCTTCACAGTTCAGGGGGTAAAACTCACTTTTTTTTGGGCGAGCCATTGAGCAGAGAGAGAGAGGCGGTTGAAGAGCTTTGGCCGGGTTATGGGCTGCTTCTGGAGCTGGGACTGTCATCAGAGTAATCGGACTAATACCTGCTGCTAACAGGAGACCATGGAGGAAGTTTCTGTGAGTACAACCTTTCTGCTAGTCTACAAAAGGAAAACATAAGTTTAACAAACTGTCAGAGTCACTGATCACTAGTTTCTTGCAGCCTCTGCACGATAAAGGTTTTATGTTGTAAATGTTGACCTATTTGTGTTAAAATTGCAACATCTCTGCACACAAATACCATCAAAGATTCACGCACTACCATCACAGTGAAGACCCTGGTGTACCCTCCTCTCCTTCAGCCTTCATCAAGCTGCTTCTCCCTCACTCAGATTAAGCTTGACTGATTGATGGAGGCTGCAGCTGAAGGCACTCAGGTCACAACCTGCACAACACACACACACACAGGTTTGTTTTTACACCCCATAGGGGACTGTGGATTGACTTACATTCATTTTGTTGGTAATTTTACATCCTAACCCTGACCATTTACCCTATAATTATACTCAATTCACACTTTAGTCCCATACCATGGGTGGGCAAACCTGGTCCTCGAGGGCCGCAGCTCTGCATGTTCTGCTTGTTTCTCTGCTCTTAACACACCTGATTTGAATGAGTGAGTGATTATCAGGCTCCTGCAAAACTTGGAAGAGATAATTCAAAGACTGAATCAGCTGTGTTGGAGCAGAGAAACCAGTGAAACATGCAGACATTCCTACAGCTTTACTTATAGAGACCGATTCATTTTGTCTCAACAGTCGCAACGCAGTTCCTGTCAGGAACCATCTGCACCTCAGGCCTGCCACTGAGGCGACGTCTTTCAGGAAGGCTCCCAGCAAAGGAAAACATGGCCAAAAACTCTTTCCGAGGCTCCAAATTCGGCCGCCGTGGCGAGGCCAACCACGAGGCGGAGTTCAGCTGCTCCCTGCAGGATCTGTGCTCGCTCATGGAGCTGAGGGGAGAGGAGGCGATCACCAGGATCCAGGAATCTTATGGAGGTGTGAACGGACTGTGTACCAGACTCAGGACGTCTCCTGTAGAAGGTAAAATCTGCTCTGGTGGTAGCCTCAGGAAGCGGTCGGTGGCGTGTCAAAGAGTCGTGGTTCACAAAAAAAAAAAAAGCAAAACACCAAAAAGCAGCTTTAATTTGCTCAGGTTGTTGTGTGTTGAGAGCTGAATGGAGATCAAGCATTTCTAGTCTTTCACACTTTACAATGAACTTCACAGTGAATGAGATTACTGCGACTAGTTGGTCAAAACTCAAAAATGCATAAACATTGTTAAAATATATGACTCTGCAGCCTCACTGAACTCTGAGTGTTTGTGACCACATTCTGAGCATCGAACCTTTTAAAGATCAGACCGGATTATTTTTCTGCACAGTTTGTAAAACTATAGTCTTGGCCTTGCACATTATTTTGTTGCCTATAATGTACCCACATTGGCTCCACATCTACGGTTTAATCTGCGAGAGTGATTAGGACCAGTTTATCAATCTTAATTGCTCATTATCAGCATGGTCAGACTCTGCAGACAAGTTAACGATGCCCACAATGACTTTTTGATAATTTTGAGACTGGGGTTGTTACACAAATTATTTTGAACATGTTTAAAACTCAGGCGATGTAAATGTGCACCTCTGTGACTCGTGGAAAAGTTGAGAATTTTGCAAAAGCTGAGACTTTCGGGAACCTTTATGAGACTCCCTCATCAATATTGCTCTGATAGATCAGTCTAGGTGCTCAACTGTTCATACAAGGTTATATATCGCTCACCTGGTGCTGACGTGATGCTCAAAACCCTATAAACAAAGCAAGCTCTTGCAGCAGAAAATGCTTAAATGTGTTGAGTTACTCTTGTGCAAACAGGCAATCAGCTAAAGATAGAAACGGTAAACAGACTCAGTTTATTTTTTTAATGTTTAAAACCAGAGGAGGAAACGGTGAGCAAACCCCTGAAGAACTAAAAAGCAAGGTTAAAGCTGTATGCTCTGTCTGAATTTAGTTTTAGTAAGATGTGAGGACTTAAATGTCTAAAAGTCTTTGTTTGAATTTGTAAACCACATCGAGAGAGGAGAAGGACCACTGAACACATTATCAGCACACAAACCTGACCTCTGATGGTATCAGTGCCTCTGGCAGCTTCTATATCAGGAACCAGTAATGTAGAAAAGTACATACAGGTTGTAGAACAGAGACTCATCCAGGTGACATCTTCTTCAGGAAGTCCTATTTCAGCAACACAATGTTAAATCTAAAAAAAACAAAAAAAACATTAAAACATTGATTTGAAGGAGAGTCCAGGTCCTGAACAGACCTCTACAGTCCAGACCTCTCATCTACTGAAAACATTTGGTTCATTAGGAAACATGAAAATCCATAAAGAACCAGGACTGTTGAACAGCTGGAATCCTCTGGTTACAGGATGTTGGTAAAACAGGAGATGCTTCAGTGGGAAACATGGACCTGGAACATTTTTTTAGATGTGTTAATGCCCTCAAATTCAAAATTATTTTTATCTGGTTTTAAAAACGGCATAGTACCTTTTTGATTCATATGTTTACTAAGTTAAGTGAATAGAATTGGTAATGGTGTTGAGGTTTGAAAACTATCACATTGTTTGGGTTTAAATTCACACATCATCCCAACTTTTTCAGAGTGATGGTTGTGGTTGAAAAATCATTGGCTGCACTTTTATTCCCCTTTTTTATTTGACATTTGCTCTTCATTAAAGGCACAGTGTGTAGGATTTTGTCAAGTCTTTTAGCCGAAATTGAGATAAAAATGACAATAATAAAAACATGTCTAATCATTGCAGACAAAGACCTTGTTTTATTATTTTTACCTTATAAAAAGCTGTTTATATCTCCATGGTCGCAGGTCACCCTACAGG